GCAAACCACACACCACTAGCACTGATGATGTGATCTAGTCAGGCAATGAAACATCTGCAAGCAAATAACCATGCTCAGAGTGTACTAAGGACTCCACAGTTCAACCCTGAGCTATATATTATAAGCTATATATTGTCTTCTACTGTAAATTAGTTCACCAGATATTGGTGTAGCAGCTGAAGTCTTCTGCACCATGCCTTATCCTCTTGAGGACATAATGATCTAATTTACATAGGTAATATCCAACTCCTCCTTTATGTAGATGGTTTGAAAACACTCTTATAATGGTATCATTTTTTTGATATTGTTTCTTACTGATTTTAATGTTAATGCAAATAAGACCTCTGTGCAGGGGTTAGAGTGCAATACTTCAGCTGACTGTTAGCTGCAATTCAGCATTTCAAATCTCACCAGGCTTAAGGTTGACTCCATTCTTCCATCCTTCCAAGGTGGGTAAAATGAGGAGCCAGATTGTTGGGGGACAATATGCTGACTCTGTAAATTGCTTAGAGAAGGCTATAAAGCACTGTAAAGTGCTATATAAGTTTAAGTGCTATTGCTATTGTACTGAATTCTTTACAGGCATATTGTTTTATTACATATTAAATATTTTGACCTTTCTTTTTTCTGGGTCTATTTCTTTTGAGTTAGAGATGGCCTTTACATTTCATGCTCCAATCTCTTGGCAGCTCTCAAGTGACAGAGTGGCAACTTGACAAGACTTTAGCAAGGGATTCTGTCATTAATCCAGTTCTTTTTAGAGGTGGCCACCAGTTGTTTGTGTGATGGCAAATTGGCAGGTTAAATATAACACTGAAAAATTAGTTTGTTAACTTAGTTAACTCAAACCACTCTCTGAAACCAAATGAATCACAGCATTTCCTGGAAATCCCATGGGGAATCTGCTCACTGTTCCTTCTTGTTACCTTATGCCATTTTGAGTAAAGCCACACCAGAAAGCTTCCTATTTTCATGGGGCTGTTGGTTTTCATTGACTCTTGGGAAGGATAGAAAGTCAAATGCCATGTGTGTTTTAATTTAAAACATAATTACAATTTGACAAGAATGGCCACTGCAACTCTCTCTCTCCTCCCCCACTCCTCCTATTCCCATAAAGGAAATAAAAGGAAGCTTCAGTGCCTTACATGTAATTTCCAGCGAAGGGAAGACATCAGTCTTTGATAACATGTTTGTCAAATCCACATGAAACATCACAAAGAATAGATTGCATTTCCAGCATAGGTTTAGTTGTGCTTGCAGTGCCAACTTTAGAAGAAAAAAACACCTGAAAATTATAACATGATTCTGAGTCTCGCTTTTGTTTTGAAACCAATGTTCCCTTTTATAACCATCCTATTATGGCCCATAAAACTCATAAATGTTTGGACATTCTTCAGAAAGTTTATCGGTACGTCCTAGTTTTGATCTTCAAGTGGACAGTGAGTGAATGCAGCTCTTACTGAATTTTGTAAGCCTTCTCTGACTGTTTAGATTTTTTTCTTTCTCATAATCCAAGCAAAGAAAAAGATGAAAGAAGAAAATATGAGTAAGAGAGAAAGACGGGAAAGGTGAAGGTTTTTACCACTTTCTTTAGATCTGCCTTTTACCTTCATCCCTACTCATACCAAGCATGCATTTCCTAACAGAAACTAACAGGTTTTTTATTATATATTTATTAACTACCTTTATCTTGAAAATGGCTCACCAAAGCAGTATGCAAGCATTTTAAATATTGTTTTTAATATCACCATGACAATATTGTTAGCTGTGTTTACATACTTAGATGTAGATAGATTACATATAACCTCTGCATCTACTGTATTCATAAGTACTTAATAAACTGCCAGGTTTAATTTTCTAAACCTTAAGAAGTGATTTGCTGATCTTATTTCTGAAGGGAACTAATTCCACAGAAGAAATATCTGGCAGAGAATGCTTGCTTTCAAGTTCCTCCCAGCTGCCCAGGAGAATTCAGCCCTTTACAGACAAATATTTCATATTCCTGTTCTGGATCTACAGCAAAAAGCATAACCCCATTTTTAATGCATTTAAAAGCTCAAAGCAACAATACCTTTGCAGTGGCTGATTTTTCCACAGCTATTTAATTCAGGACAACTATTCAGGTAGGAAATCAGACTAAATATTTTCTGCAGTTTTAATGTGTAAATTTAAGCAATAATTTTGTAAATACAAAAATGGCACAAGGGAAGAGGAGAAAAATGATCAAATTATTAAGGGAAATGCCACCAAATTGCTCAGTGAAATTTTTCATTCTCTTATTGATCACTGGCATATTCCTGTTATCAATTGTCCTCTCTCTCACTGCAGTTTAATTATAGGATACATAATTTGGGATGTGGAGCAAATATAATTTGATGGAGCTTTCTATTCCTCATCCTGCTTTATGTCCTGTATGCACAGGTATAAAATACATATGGAATTTTGGCAGCTATTGTCTATCTTTTATTGATCCAATGTGATCAATTCCAGATTTCAATCAGAATAGTCCAACCAAGCTCAAGCAGGAGACCCTATACTAGTGATAGCTAAACTTTCCCAAAGTGTGCACACCCAAAGCCCCAAAATGCAATGTGTGTACAGCCTCCCCGCTTATGCCCTGCACATGCATATGCGCCCCATGTGTGCGCCCCACCCCTGTGGATGCATGTGTGCCCTGCATGCACCCCAGCCCAGCCCCATGGGCGGCAGAGACCCAAAGACCAGCTGGCTGGTGGGAGGCATGCACACAGGCACGCACACATGCATGACAGAGGTAAACTGGGGTGATGTCTTGCATGCCCACAGAGAAGGTGTTGCGTGCCACTTCTGGCACATGTGCCATAAGTTCACCATCACAGCCCTATGCAATTTAAGACTAGTGGCTTGTCCAATCTCTTCTTAAAAACCTCCACTGATGAAGCACCCATAGCTTCTGAAGGCAAGCTGTTCCACCAGTTAATTGTTCTCACTGCTAGGAAGTTTCTCCTTAATTCCAGGTTGCTTCTCTCCTTGATTAGTTTCCATCTGGTATTCTGTCTTGCATCCTTGTGTTTTGGAAAACAAGTTGACTCCCTCTTCTTTGGGCAGACCCTCAAATACTGGAACACTGCTATCATGTCACCCCCTTGTCCTTCTTCTTTTCTCTGGACTAGCCATACCCAGTTCCTGCAACCATTCCTGCAAAATTTGCTACATTGACTGGCAGTAGGTCTGCAGAGTTTCAGCCAGAAGACTCTACCAATGGTAATTCAAATTCAAAACTGGCTCTCTCATACATAAAGCAATTTCTCCATTCCTGAGCAATTACATTTTGCTGAACTGTTGTCATGGCTTTAGAGGATCATGTGGATTATGTATCTCCATATTCCATTTTTATTGTTTCCATTTTTCTGTAATCTCCCCACTTTAGGATCTGATTCTGCAATGGCTGGAAACAGGTTACTTCCTTTTTAAAAAAATATTGGAGGATATTGGAGGATTTTAGAAATATTAAATGAAATGCCAGTATGTGGCTATGTATTAAATATTGGTATATTTTATGATGAAGGACATTTAAACAATTATAGTCAAATNAATCTGTCAGTCTGAAATGAGAACCTCCAGTCTGTCATTTAACACTGCCTACAATTTGTAACAGCAGTTTTTTTTTTTTTAAAGCTAGTTACAGGCTGCCTGTATCAGGTATTCAGGACCCGGGAGAGCTCCATGGGGAGATTAGAAACTGATCCAATAAAAACAGCTGGATTTTATATGTACAAGGAACAATTACATGCCATCAACTTGACAAGTCAATCATACAGCGTTTCCCAGTTTCCTTGAAAATATTACTAAGCCAAAATTACAAAAATACTTAGCCAAATAAGTGCTTAAAGCTATCTTCTAAACAATATATGTAATAGAAACTTTGATTTGAAACATAAGATTACAGAGAGCTGTAATCTAAGCTGTAAGAGTAGCATATGTCTTATTTATACTATACTATAGTAGTAGTAGGGATGTGGTGGCTCAGTAGCTAAGACGCTGAGCTTGTCAATCAGAAATGTCAGCAGTTCAGCAGTTTGAATCCCTAGCTCCGCGTAATGGAGTGAGCTCCCGTTACTTGTCCCAGCTTTTGCCAACCTAGCAGTTTGAAAGCATGTAAAAATGCAAGTAGAAAAATAGGAACCACCTTTGGTGGGAAGGTAATAGTGTTCCGTGTGCCTTTGGTATTTAGTCATGCTGGCACATGACCACGGAGATGTCTTCGGACAGCACTGGCTCTTTGTCTTTGAAACGGAGATGAGCACCGCCCCCTAGCTTTGGGAACGACTAACACATATGTGCAAGAGGAACCTTTACCTTTACTATAGTAGTAGTAGTAGTAGTAGTAGTAGTAGTAGTAGTAGTAGTAGTAGTAGTATATAATGGAATAGAAATGTTTATTTATCAGCTTTATTATTTTTTATAAATAACTCAAGGCAGCAAACATATCCAACATAACTTCTTACTTCTATTTTACTCACAAACAACAACTCACCTGTGAGGTGAGTTGGGCTGAAAGAGAGTAACTAAGATCACCCAGCTGGCTTTCATGGCTAAGGCAGTACTAGAACTCACAATTTCTGGCTGTGTACCCTGAAGCCTTAAGCACTAAACCAAACTGACTCTGGTTTTATTGCTTATAATATTACTTATAATTAATTAACTTTTTGCATGATAAGCTCTGTAAGATGTGCACAGAGCAACAGCAGGGGAGATCTACTTTGCTTCATACTGTTCCTTTTATTTCATAAATTAGTAATGTTTCATTTGTACCTATATTTTGTCTGATATAAAACAAGTAAGTGACTGAGATTTAATGTGCCTGAAATTAAGTAAGTCAGCTGTATAAACTGAACTTGGATGCATCTAATGGGGGAAGTTTGGTGTATATTTCTGGGACTTAGCAAACAGCTCGAAAAAACAGAAGGTGGCTTTCCTTTGTTTTTCCCTGTGCTCTGATCCTATCTTTATATTTGCAGCAAACATATTCAAAGGGAAAAGAACATGAGCATTGGACGGAAGAAATTTAATATGGATCCTGTTAAGGTAGGAACAAGTCTTTGAGATTTAATTTAAGATTTAGGTCCTTGACAATCTCAGCGTTCATGTTTCAAACAGCTAATTTCACGAAGGGAAGGGGAAGGGAGGGACGGAGGGAGGGAGGGAGGGAGGAAGGAAGGAAGGAAGGAAGGAATTACTTTTGTGCCTACCATGTCTCAAATCCAATGTGTATCTCAGGAATCAGCTCAAATAGTAGCTGAAACAAAGGTGATGGTACTTGGGCTGGACGGTTAAGAGGAAGAGAGAAAGTAGTTCTCTTTCTCTCTGCCATTTCCTGGCATATCCCCACTGAGTTATCTATTGTTTGCCCTGCTTTTTAATATGGGTTTAATGCAGTGGTGAAATGCATGTTTTTTACTACTGGTTCTGTGGGCGGGGGAAGAATACTGCAAAATCTCCATTCCCACCCCACTCTGGGGCCAGCCAGAGGTGGTATTTGCCAAACTACTCAAAATTTCCCCTACCGGTTCTCCAGAACCTGTCAGAACCTGCTGAATTTCACCCCTGGTTTAATGGTCTCCGAGAAAAGCACTAAAGCTTTTGTTTCTTTTGAGAATGGATTTAGTGCATTAAACCTATGTCAAAAAGATCCCCATTATCTGATAATAGTTGGGCTCCTGTTGAATTCGGGTATGCAAAATATTTGCTCAAAGTCAGAGTAAATTTTGACTAAAGATTACTAAATCTGCCAGACCAGCCATTGATAAAAAAATTCAACTCCTTCCAATCCCTAACCCCCTGTAAAGAGTGTAATTGATAGCTGTTTTCAGTCAGATGATGCTAAGAGGAAGGAAGACTTCTTCCTTTGGAGGAAATTCTCCAAAGTCATTTCTTAATATGCCCCATGGGTAATAAATAAGGATGACACCATTTGGTAGCATTTTGCCAATAGAACAATAGAGAATTGATGGATGCAGCAACTTTAATGCCAATAAAGTTTTTGACTGGTTTCAAGACTGATGATAGCACTTTAACTCAGCCTTGGAGAAAGGCTCTTAGTTTCTTTTTTTAAAAAAAAAAAAACAAAAACAAACCATACACCCATTATTAGTTAAGCCAAATTTTATAACTATGTACAATATACATATATTGGATGCGAAGCGAAACATCTTCAAAGAAAAAACAGAAAGTCCAGTTGCCTCTTGGAAAAAAGCACCTTTGGGACAACCATGACCTGGATGACTGAGAATCTCCATAGACATTTATGTACAATATATTACATGAAAAAGAGAATGGAAGACATGAGAAAACTTGAATGAAAGCTTTGAAAGCCAAGTAATGAGATCACTATGAAATTATAAGAAATGAAATAAGCCATATGATGAAAGACAGGTCCAGCTCTGAGGAATCCAGGTCCTCTTTCTAGCGAATGATCAGAAAGCAACCCAGGTCCTCTTTCTGATGAAAAATGCTACACCTACAGAAAATATTCTGCATTTTTGTGGTCCAGCTGCATCCTTCCCACCAGCCGCTTCCTTAAAACAAACAAACGAATGGAGAGCGTATTGGTATTTTCTCCAATTGTCTTTCTCTTCTTTGGAATTGATAGCTTATACTTGAAAAAGGAAAGCCAAAATTACTAATAAGCAGTTATGTTGACTGCAGCTAATTTCATCTTGAAGATCTTATACATGCCCATGTTTTGGTTTTACCCTTTTTCTTTCTATTTGTCACAACCAGGTCTACTTTGTGTACTTGCCTATATAAAGAAGGAACTGAAGTTGTCTTTATCCTTATCTTTCTTTTCTTGATGTAATTATCTCTGTGCATTCCACTAACTGTAACCCATTGTGAACTGCACTTCACACTGAACTGTTTCTTTCTTTCAGTGTAATTACTTCCTTTTACTAACAACACTACAGTCAAAAGTGATCATTCAATCATTAAATGGTAGTTAGACTCTTAATAGAAAAGCAGCTACCTACATTACTATTATGGAGTAAAGGTGTGCTGAATATGAACAAGGCCTTTAAGAAAAAAAAACACAAAGGGAGGGAGGAGTCAATGTAACGATGAGATGGTTGTGTGGTCTCAATGCTCTGAGACCACAGCCAACACCGCCATTGGGTGGTCCAAACGGACCTAAACCATCCCGAAGAGATGGTGAACAGGAAGAATATGTCTTGCTGATCTCAGGGATTTCGCAAAATCCTTGAAAGAAGCAAGAGAAGTTCTTCAAGTCGGTGATAAAAAATCCAACCAAGGTTGACAAAGTTGCGGCAGCTCCAAAATGGAAGGATACGGAAAGAGAAAGTGTTTCCAGCTGGTGAGGAATTTTTATTGTTTTAAAAAAGAGACTGCCTATAAAAACTCAAAAAACAATTTAAATTAAAGAATAGAAGAATCAAGTGGTGGAATTGAATTTGGTTTTGGACAGTGGTTATCTTACTTTTTAAATGTTATTTACATGGATTGAATCTATGCAAACCTTTTGAAACTGATGGATTAAGTTTTCTTCTTCTACCTTCTCTTTGTGACTCTCCGTAATTTACAGACTAAAGTTTTCCTCTTTT